AGTTAACCTCACTGGTGTCCTACTGTGTTCCCCAGGTTCCCCACAGTCTTGCCAGGCACTGCTGTAAGAAGGAGTGTAAGGATGTCTGTGATTCACTCTGTGAAGCTGTTGGGAATTGGGATATTGGTTGCCATCCTGAGCCTGGAAGGCTTGAACTGGCTCTACTTCCGCCTGCGCCAACGTTGCTCTGGGCGTCCCCTGAAAGAGGTCCTGTTTTTCCCCACCACAGTCACCTGCATTGAGCACCTCTTTCAGCCCCATCCCAGGGTCTCCCCTTGCCTCTGCCGACTGCCCCATGGCCTGGAGACACCCTTCACCCGCCTGCTGCGCCACCTGCTGTCTGCCCGTTTCACCTTGGACCTCTGCATCTTCGCCTTCTCCAGCCAGGAGCTGTGCCGCGCCGTGCTGCTGCTGCACCGGCAAGGGGTAGTGGTTCGCGTGCTGACAGACAAGGACTACATGGCTATCGATGGCTCCCAGATCGGCTCCCTCCGTAAAGCAGGTAACCCCTCGGTCTGGCTGTTTGGCGTAATAGCTGGCGCTGGCGTGGGCTCTAAGGTGTGTACATTGTAGCAGGCAATCCTTCATTTTCTCGGCTTGCCCCACCCCCTGGCACAAAACAGATCAAGGCAGCTTGTACAATGTGTGCAGGCAGGGCAGCTCCTTAGGTTTTTCCTCTGGACGTCCCAGAATATCACTGGCAGAGGTCAAGGATCAGCTGGAGGACAGGTGCAGCCTCACAAGTGTCTGGCAGGCCTCAAGGGTCACTGCTGCACTGTAAACTTGGGATGCTCTAGTTGACCTGCACCCACTGAATATACTCAGCAAATTGGATTCCATTGGCCGCGGTACCCAAGGTCACAGTTGGCCATCACTGTGCTCTTCATAAGTCTCTTCTGTTTTGCATGATGTGATCTCTACTGAACTTGCCAAGATGTTTTTTTTCCCCAAAAATGTTTTCAGCTCTAAAAAAAAGAAAACATAATTATGTGTCAAGCCTGTACCGGTTTGTGGGTTTCAGAACTTCTTTCGTTCAGGTGTCTGGAATGCGAACTGGAAACATGCCCATCAATGAATGCTTAATGTCGGAGTGTCGCTGTTACTCTGGCCTGTGTCTGCACGTTGTTGAGAGCTGTTCAGACAGTGATAAGGCAGAAGTCATTAGGAAAGCAAGCTGAGATGAGACTGAAAAGTGTTCTGTGTACAACAGTACACCTGCAGCAGGGTGATCATGAACCCAAGAATGGAGTGCAGATACATTAAAAAGGAGATAATTAAAGCAGCCAGTCAGCTTTACTGGTTAAGAGCTCAGTTTAAGTAAAAACCAGGAGAGACGGCAGGGAGGGGGTACAATAGGACCAGGGTATTGTTATAAAAGAGGAAGGCAATTGGTCCATTTTAGTATAGTGAATCCTGAGATAGATAGACTGTGGGGTCCTGTTCTTCAGCATATTGTCCTTCTTCCAAGGCTAAGGGCATTAGCTATAGTGAAATTGATTCAAACACAAGTGATAGATGTCACTGCAGTAAAGCCATTTATTTTCCAGTGGGCTTAATCAGACACAAGTTCTAGGAAGTCTTAGGGTTAATGGACTAGCTGCATGAGTGTATTACAAAAATGTCTTGATGCTAAATACATGCTGACAAGCTCTGTGAATAGGAAATGAAGATGCTGGATGCTGTTCTGTCCTGCTCTCTCTTTAATTAAGGATATAAAATCAGCACTAATGGACAGCTGGACAGAACACAAGGCAGTAATTCAATCTTGGGGGGAGAGAGACAGAGCTTTGGCTGATGCTTGTGAGTTCTGCAACCTTGAGAGTCCTGCCTTGTGACGTTATTGAAACTTCAGTGATTGGATACCCACCGGCCTTTTGACGCCAGAGTCATCAATCGAGGGGATGACCAGGCCCATAGAGAACAGCCTACCTCCCTTTCCTAGGGCTGGAAAATTCCACTCCCAGCTGAGTGCAAACAGAAGAGATGAACCAGCTCTGGCCCCAGGCGCAAGGGATGTCCAGTCCTGGTCCAGGAGGGCCATCATTAAAGCAGGTTTTCTTGGTCATTGTAAATGTCTGGCTTTTAGAGAACAAGGAAAGGCTTCAGCTTGTCCAGTGAAGCAAATCATGAGTTTGATTAGGTGATCAAGGGCTCGGATGGATAGAAAGCAAGCAACCTTCTGGCCCTCCTGGAGTGGAATTGCACGTCTCTGCTTTAGTACATGGAATTTAGAAACTGTAGTTTGGAAAAGACAAGCAGCCCTCAAACCAGACTTGGGATATCCCAGCTGTAAGCAAAAGCTTCTACCCTTAGGCCACTTCAGTCTGTGCATGTGTATGTCCCTCCACTTTATCCACGTGGGCAGACTTTGGCCCCCTCAGCCAAGCCGTTTTGGATAAGTGAAGGTCTTGGATCTCTTTGCATGCCCAATACCAGTAATGCCAATCAGTAAAGGAACAAGCAAGGGTTTATTCTGTGCTGAAAAGAGAAGAAAAGAAACAACGTTTCATCTGTGGAGCCTTCTTTAGGTGTGTATGACACACGAAGAATTTGTGCTTCTTCTCTTTTCAGCATGGAATCAGCCTTTCTTGTTCGTTTGCAGCCTACACATACTGACACAACTCCCTATTTGAACTAAGACAAACTGTAGACCCTTAATCCCCGCGGTGTGGTGGATGTGTAAACCATCAGCATCAGGGTGTTTGCTTTTTTTGTCGAGTGCCATTGTAACAGGCCGTAGCTCTGCTCTGCCGTGCCCAGCCAGGATTCGGTCAGGCTCGGAGCAACACCCAACGCCCCATGACTGGGGTGGGTGTCTTTCGCTGCACAAGAGAGTCCTACAGTGTTTCAGTGAGGGCGACGTGGCTTCTGTAACAGGATTGGCAGCAGTTGCGCCGCGCAAGAGCGCTCTGATCTCGGGGAGTAAAGCTCGCAGGTCTTTATAATAATCCTTACGCTTATATAGTGCTTTTCTAAACACTCCAACATCACCAATGTGTAGCCCCACCTGGATGATGCAACAGCAGCCATAGTGCACCACTACACTCACCACTGTCAGTAGGGAGGAGAACAGAGTGATGACGCCAATTCAGAGATGGGGATTATTAGGAGGCCATGATGGGTAAAGGCCAGGGGAAAATCTGGCCAGGACGCCGGGGTAACTCCTAATCTTTTCAAGAAACGCCTTGGGATTTTTAATGACCATGAAGAGTCAGGACCTCGGTTTTACATCTGATCCAAACAGCACCTTTTTACAGTACAGTGTCCCTGTCACTCCAGTGAGGCATTAGGATGCACACACACCGCAGGATGAGTGCTCTCTACTGGTCCCACTAACACCTCTTCCAGCAGCAGCCTTAGTTTTTCCCAGGGGGTCTCCCATCCAGGTACTGACCAGGCTCACACCTGCTGAGCTCCAGTGGGCTGCCAGCTGTGCGTTGTGGGGTGATATGGCTTACTGCTCTGACCCTCTGGCATGTCTTCGTGTCTCAGGGATCGCCGTGAGGCACGAGACGGGGGACTTCCACATGCACCACAAGTTCGCCGTGGCGGACCGGCGGCTGCTGATCACCGGCTCCCTGAACTGGACGGCCACGGCGGTGCAGGGCAACAAGGAGAACGTCCTGGTCACCGAGGACGCCGCCTTCGTCCGACCCTTCCTGCGGGAGTTCGAGGAGCTGTGGGACGCCAACGATCCCGCCCGGCTCTCCTTCGGCCCTGCACTGAGCTGAGATGACATTTTCTTATTTCTTAACGGTTATTAAATGGAGCAACCACATGAGTCAGACCGGCCGAATTGCCTCCTCTCGTTTGTAACCTTTCGCGGTGTTCTTTCTTGGTGTAAAACGCTTGTTTTCACTGCCAGTAGCGGAACTTAAGTAGTTTGTTTCAAAGTTAAAATGGATTTCCGTCCTTCCCCTTGGTGTTTCTGTGTTGGTGTTCATGGTTCTGCAGGAATTTTGTGCCCCATGACTTCAAAACTTTCCATGAGCCTCATTCATCACATCTCTCTATTTTTTCCTCCCTGCTCTCGAATGTCCCCCATCCCATTCATGTTATGTCAAGGTGCTGCAGTGACCATTCACAGCTGATTCAACCTTTTACTGCTCTTCTAACCCACTGGCTTCCTCATTCATAGGGTGTTTCAGGCATTTAGATGCTTTCTTAATCAGTCAGCACCTCAATATGATGGAGAACAGCAGTGCAGATATATTATGATTTGTTTGTTTTGTATCAATCTAGGAAAAAATTCAGATTAAATCCAAAAGAGAAGTATCTTGTCAGCATCTGTACGCGATGTATATAACATCCTAGACGATTGAATAGGGAGCACCAAAGAACAAGCATTCGAGTTTTCAAAGTAAACCTTAGTTTACTAACGTAAGTAAACCTAGAGGACGTCTTGAAAATTAGCAGTGAAACACAAACAAATGAAAACGTAAATGGAAACTATGCCACTACTTTTATAACTAAGAACAGTTGGCACTCCTTTACACAAAGGGGTGTGGGAGTGTGGAACAAGCCACCCAGCCATGCTGATGGGGTTGATGCCCTTTCGAGGAACAGCAGGGTGAGATCCGTGGGTTGGTAAACAATGAACTCCCCAACAATCTATATGGGTCGGTGGCCTCTCTGGAGCTGAAGAAGGCTCCACATCTGTTTTTTCAGCACACACTTCACCTCACCTGGCTCTACTGTGTGAGTTTGTATTTTCCCATTGCAGTAAAAGTGGTTCCAGTGCAGTTTGAAAAGTACTTTCCTCCAGCCAGGGAGTCCTGACAAAATATCTGTGATCTTGCATCTCCCTCATCTTGGCAGATAACCTCATGTGTTCTTGCCCTGAGCAGTGATTTTTCAGGTAAAAACAGGTTTTGTGGAGGAAATGAACAAAAAGCACTTTTCCCCAGATGTCAGATTTCCAGCCTTTGTACTTAGCAGATGGCAGCACTGGAAGTATTTTCTTTCAGCTGACCTGGGGGAAGAATCTAAACCGCTCGGTGTGCATGGTCTGTGGTGGGGGTGGACAAAACAAAGTGACAGGCAGGGTATCCCAATTCTGAAACTTCCCATTTCCAACTTGGGGGGGGGGGATGAGGACTGGTCTTTACACACTGAAGTTTAACTAATCCAATGTTTATGAGTTAATATCATTATACTGCGTTTGTATAACGTTTTACATCTCAAAGCACTTTATATAGGAGAAGAGGAACCACTTTATCCCACACTGAAGAAAAGACGTGATCCAGCCACAGATCTCTTTGCTGTGGTGCTGCAGTGTCTCGCTCCTTTGGGCTGAATAGGGGTATTAAAGGGGAACTCCTGCACTATTTTTATATTCCGGGGATAGAAAGAATCGTCATTAATGAGTGCATTTCAGACCACAGTGAGAGAAAGATATAGACAGCAACTTGTAAAACCTCCAATTTATATCACAAAATAGACTAAATTTCCAGGTATGAGCAGTGTCATATTACTTGCTAACTGCATGCAAATCACATTGGAATATTTTTGAGGTGAAATGTCTGCTGCACAATCTGTACATACTCTCTCGTACATGGCTGTAATTTGGTCTTTCCGGTGACTTGTGAGCAGAATGGGGCCAGTTTATGTTCCAGTTCTCCTGAACGCGAGCTCTCCCCCATGACGGGACCAGCAGTCCGTGACCACATGGCGACTAGACTTTCACAAAGATTGGGATTTCGTGCTTCAAATTCAGAATTTGTAACATTTCACAATCCTGTCAATTTATTTTGTTGCCAAGATTTAATAAGCGGTTTGAGAAAGAGGGACTGCTGTTCCCCTTTAAATCACTGTTCTACTACTCCATTACTCTTGCTCACATTGGCCAGTGAAGAAATTTACAGCCCAGTGGGGACCTCTTGTTCTGGATCAATGTGTCTTCAGCTTATGACTGTGTGGTGTCACAGCAAAAAAGTAAACTCCCTCCCAGAAACTGCCTATAACTGCATCATGTCTTTTTTCTATGCTGTGCTGCCTCTTTTGTGCATTATGGGTCATCCTTTCCACTTGGATTACATTATTTGCTTAAGACCGCTTTCTTGCAGCGGGAGACTTAATCGGGAGACTTAATGTTGGCAAAGGCACCATTAAGAAAGAGCAAACACTCCGGCCCCCAGTGGAAGAGAAAGAGTCTGTTGCAGCTCGTGGGAGCCATAGGTGTGTAGAACAGGATATTAAACAAGAGGAAAAGTCTCATAAAATAAGAACAGGTGGCATAGCCAGCCTTTCGCATTAACGGTGACGCATCAACTTGATCACCACAGGTCTTTGCGGGGGAGAGAATGAGACAGGAAGGCAGGTATGAGATTGTGCAGTAACAGGTTCGGTCCTTTTCCTTTCAGAGAGACAGGCAAGCTAAGACATCACGATGCACCTATCGTGAGGTACAGCAGTTAAAAAAGCAGTCAACCCATGAGCAGATTGGATATTGTATTTGTGACTCCTCAGGCTGAGGAAGAACAGAGGACAAATGTGTGCAATATTTTTTCTTAGTTCTGTTTCTACATTATTCTATATTCTCTATATTATTCCAATGCACGTGCCAACACTTTTCAAAGTGTCTAATTATGGCAATATTCAGCCATTCACAGAAGTGAAACCCTCCGGTCACATCTGAGCCAGCTGCTATTCGCATAGCACAGTTTCACCTGGATATTACCAGACGCTTCAGGGCTGTCGTCTTTGAAGGCTGAGAAGATCAGGCTCTGGGGTGCTTGAGCTGAATGAATCAGTCTTGATTATGTTCTGTCTGAAAGCTATTTGAACAGGGTGTGAATGCATTACAGACAGGGAATCCGTTAACTATCATATTCCACAGCTATGTATAAATACTGTATTGTTCTGGATTAGGTCCTGGATGTGCAGCAGCAGACTGTGCTACCAGATACAGTCCAGCTGTCTCTTTATGCTTTGTAGGGGGGAGTCTGTGTGAGCAAAGATGATTAATAATGATTTTAATGTGACAAGGCTCTTTCCTCTGTGCAAACACATCTTTGTTTCCTTCAAGACAAGAGATTCTAAAATGTACATAGGCGCTGCCGAGCCTGCTGACACAAGATGGAGCCCCCTGCACTGTGGTACTGATGGGTTTGGTCGGTGAAATTCTGCATCCAAAAACACAGAGGAGCCCATTAGAAGCAGTTTGCTTACTGTAGCCTGCAGGATCACTGGGCCAGCTGGGGGGGGAAACAGGTGCAGTAAGTCTAGTAGATAGTTAAAGCTGGTTTACAGATATTCACATACAATGGTCCAGCTCAAAGGCTAAGCATAACTGATTAGGTAACCCTAGCCTACTACAGGTTTTTCAGGCAAAAAGTAGAATTATGGATATTTAATGAAGTCAATACATATGGAGGGGGGCACAACTGGGTATTATTTAATATTTGTACTATTATAGTAACCACCACTTGTTGTTTCATCAGATACTGGGGTGTTGTTCTGTGCAAATTAAGGCAGAAGGCCTGCATTGCAGGTTTGTTTTAAAGGCGAGTTCCTCTGACAAGGTGTAAAATATAATTCTTTCCCTTGATCTGAGAAAAGCCCACTTCACCCCGGCCCTGTTAGTGCTGAAACCCGCTTAGGCACAGTCTGGGTTGGTGTATGTCATATTGGGTGTGTCTGTTGATTTTGATGCCATTTACCTCACAATTTATTTTTTTATATAAAAAACATTCTCTTCTGTTCCCGTTGCCTGCGGGGTTAACCATTGACTTGCAAAACAGCTGCGTTTCCCGGCTCGTCCTGTTATAAGTGACCTCACGGGGAAAGCTCAGAAAGTGGTTGGGCAGTGAAAAAAAAATTAAAAGGAGGGAGGGTGGACATGAAATATTGTTCACAGTTAACGCCCTTTAAAACCGGCGAGTAAAATAACGTCCTGAGGTGAGTTGCTCCCCGCCGCGCACACACCCGCTTTCGGTAACCGTGTGTGTTTGGCAGGGGTGCGCACCACCCATCCTCGGCGAATGAGGCGGGCTGTTGATTGTTGAGGTCTGTGAAAGGGAAGCAGGCCAAGTCAAAAAAAGAAAAGCAGCCGCAGAAGGTGTGTCTTTCACAATCCGGACCTCCAGGCGCTGCACGGCTTTTCCGCTGGTTTCCTTGAACCGTCGCGGCTGCTAAGGGAGCTCCCGGATCCGGGTGGCGAGAGGGCGGCGGAACAGGAGACCGAAAACACCGTGCTGGCCGGTTGGGAGGGAGAGAAACAGCTCTCTCCCCGAAAGTAACTCAAGTCGGTTAAAAATCCGTAAGAAAAAGACAACACACAGTGCAGCGAAGCAGGAGGTCTTGAGAGCGTTAACAGGCGAAAACAAGGTAGGAGCTTCCGATGTTATCTTCGTTCCAGCTGGGCGTAGAAGTCGTACTGCGTTTGGGTTTCCTCTGGATTAAAGTGATGATTGTATGTGGAAAGGGTGCGACTGGGATTCACTGTGAAGTTCGGGGGCTTTCCTGTCCTGTAATAAAACCCTTTCCTGCGATTTGCACTCCGTTTATATTTCCTGCTTTATTCCCATCCTGTCCGGAGTGCTACTCTGTAACATCTGGACGCTCTAGGCTGCTGGGCAAGATCCACGTATTGTGAGCAGGTTAAGGTGGAAAAATCACAACTTTGCGCCCAGGTCGTCGATCTCCTATTAAAATCGCACCCGGCATTAACAGTTTTATCCGCGCAAACGGATTAAAAGGTCATTACAACCCGGGAATCTGAAAAATTGCCATTATTTTCCTGATTGCTAATCTAAAAGTGACGTGTTAGGAAATGCTCTGTAAAAACAACTTCTTGCGGTTCTTAGCAAGTATGTTATATTGGCTCGAGACGTTCATAGTGGCATATATGTGCAAACTTCTTTCAGTTATATGTCTCGCCTTTGCGTTTTGGATTAGTTCGTTTTAGTTATTTCAATGTAAACACAGTTGATGTCGCCACCGTGCACATAGACATGAATATATTACGGAGTTCTCGCAATAAAAAAAATAAAGTTTTACAATAAGAGGTTGAAATAGACTGTCGAGGGTTAAATCTAATCGCTATGCGTCTTGAAATTAGGTGGTACAGGAAACTAGCAATGTTTTTCATATCGCGTTTTCTACCCAGTGGATACAAGGGAACGTGTTCGAAAAACCCTAAAAGTAATTATTTGACAGCTTTCAAATATATATACATACAGTAGCGTTTATACCGGATGATGTATGTTGTATACATTTGTCCAGTAACTTGAATATCGACAAAGAATGGAAAACGGATTAGTAGCGGTGGGGGGGACAACTTTTTTTCAAAGCGGTGTGTCGTCAATTGTTTGTATTTCCAGGGAGTCAGTGGTGGAGCTCATATGGTAACCTTGGAGACGCCAAGCACTGCAGTGTGCGTGTGATGATGACATTTGTTAATTTCTTACCAGTATTCTGAACGCTCTGAGATATGCGAGATGTTACAGGATGGGCCACAGGAGGAATTGTGCAGCCAGAAGCTGGCGCAGGAGAAAATGAATGTGTTTTTTGACGTGCTGGGTTGCTGTGTAGCAAAGGCAGACGTGCCTCGCTAGATCTGATGAGAACGGTGCCTACCTGGATGCAATCGGGTGTCGGTCCTATAAAATGTTGTTGGAGTGTTGACTAAGTACAGTCTCCCCCCTTTCTTTCCTTAAACTACAGCTTGGCCGAAATTCAATTCGAGGAAACAGAATGAATATATTCCTCTTCATCCTCGTATCGTACCTGTGCCCTTGGGTCATAGGATTATACAGTAGCTGTATACCCATTTAGATGACGACGCCCCAATTACATTACTATCGTTTCAGATTGTTTTGTTGAAAAAGAAATATAAGATGATAAGGGCGTAGTTGTGAATATAGCGACATATGAGTGTAGTTCGAATATATAATAAGAAAAGAGTTGGTTCTGTCAGTGCAAAGTTAAGGTGAAACGGACGGTAGACCGGGTAATTTCTGGCCTGGTTGGGCGTAGGTACAGCTGTCTTCTTTGGAGAGCTGGCGGTAAGTCTGCTCTGATGATCCATCGCCCTGCATTAAAACAAATTCAGTCCGCTCTCTACAAGGAGACAAACACACCCAGCCTGTTGTGCCTGTGGGCGGTTATTTAAAAAAATAACAGGTGTGTAATTTAATTTTAGCTGTGGGCGAGGGGAAAAGACACGACGCCTGCACCGTCAGTACTGTACATACAGGATGAATGATTGCACCGTCCTTTTGTGTTGCCCAAATTTCCCGTAGTATGATGAAACTGCGGTCTAGATCCGGCCTTTTTGTCTTCGCCAGAGCAGTCATTTTTCGCAAATCTCTGCTGTTTTTTCCCACCCTGAAACTCTTTTGTTTTGAGGTGATAAGCGCCACAAACTCTTACAGAAATCCGTTACCGTGTGGGAGAGATTAATTATACTTATACTCTTGGTAGTTTTTTTCCCTCCTAACACCAACTCTACTCTTTTTTAACCCCGTTCGGAAGAACCAGATATAATATTGTCCAATAAGAATATTTAAACTCAAGAGACCTGAAACCGGTTTTCAGCGATATATTTTGGTGATGTCGTGTTAAAACCCAAAATGTTAAGCAGCTTTTGGATATTTTTTTGAAGCCCAGCAATTTATCTTTGACGTCCACGAATTCCCAGAGGCACCTAACAGAGCTGAAGTTCTTCCACACCTTTGACGTTCAGGAGTAGATGACACTGTTATTTTTGTTTTAAATTGCCTCGGCCGATGCTAGTTGCTCATTATGCTTTAATCTAAATGCGGCTGATTTACATTTTGGTGCGTCTCCCAATAATATTCTGACTATAGTCAGGTTGGCATTAAACCCTTTGGAAATCAGTTTGTACTGCCCTTTACAGCCTGTGTTAAGTATCCCTTGGGAAGCAACTTGTAAAATTAACCTGCATAGCAAACCTTACCTTTAACTCTGCAGACTCTCAAGCCTATGATATGGTTTTAAAACTGTTGGTTTTTGCTGTAAGAAGAAAGATCTTATGATGTGCGAAAACAGATCTGTGCTTTTAATAAAAATACCCGTATATAATAATTGTACAGGGATGGGAGATCTCCGTGTGGTACACAGAGATTCTTTGGCTCTTTTAAGAAACTTTTCATGGTTAAGCCATGCAGCAGCACTTGGTTGTTTCTGTTATATGCTTAGGCTGTTTATCTGATGTTTGTGAGGAATTCTGGGTTTTTGCCACAGTGGCTTCTATGGTGATGAAATACTGTGGAAATGGTCCCTCAAAATGCTAACAATTTAATGAAAAGCAGATAATGGGGGCAGCTTCTAGGTAAAGCCAAAGTGTAGCTCCTGTTGACATTGTTTTATTGCCAGCTGTCACATGGCCTGTCAGTAGGATGACATCTGTTTTCTGTTTAATCTTGATAAAGTGAGCAAGTGATTGTATGCTGACAATCGGCAAATGAGTCTGGTAGCTTGTTTCGTTTTTTACCTTTTTGGCTCGATCTCCAGCAAAAGGAGCTCGCGATCTGCCAGTCTGTAATCCTGCACTTCCGCATCCTCTTAAGGCCTGGATCCCTTGTAGGTTTCGGAGAATCTACAACTGTGGTCCAACACCTGGCACAAAATGTGGCACACCCTAACACATCCCATGTGAGAGCATGTCCTGGGTGAACTCTGTGAGCTCCCTGGTGGAGAAACGTGCCATTTATGCTACAGTGCAGCAGTCCTGTTGGAAAGCTGAATGGTTTTGTGGTTTTCTCGTGGCCATTTGTAATACGGTTCCCAAGCCTGTCTTGGAACGTCAGAAAAAATGCCTTTCTCACTCGTTGGGTAAACAGATTCTCCTCCCAGTACAAGAGCACCACCTTTAAATCAAACATTGAAACTCAGCATGGTACATGGTCAGCTGAGGTTTCTGTACACCATGAAATGAAACAGGTCTGTTAGTCTTCTGCACTGTCTAAGGTAACAGCGAGGAGTCTTGGTATTGCATGTTGTCTCATCAACCTGGATCAATTAACAGCATATAGCGTCTTGTCACCCCTATGAGTAATGACGTCCTACAGAGGTTGATCGACAGTCAGGTTCAGATTGTGGCGTAGCAGGACAAATCTTTCCTTTAGGCCAGTCATGTTGGTGCTTCTTAGGCCGGCGCTGTTTTTGTGGGCCTGGTAGGTTGAACAAGATTAGAGAATGGACAGTTACAGCTTCTATCGTCACAAACTGTCTGCGAGCCCTTGGAACTCAACAGTTCTCCCAAGTGTCCTGGTTAAATTTCCACTTCAGACTTGCACAGCTGAGCCTCCCAAAATATCCCCCTTGCTTCAGTCGGCAGAGCGGTTTCTCACTTCTCCTGCCCGAACTGCTGTGCGTCTCCAAGGCAGGGGCCCCAGCTTGGTAGAAAATGAAGTGGGTCCCCTTGTGAGTTAAAACGTGTATATTGATATTAACTCATGATGTTCCAGTCAGGGTGAACTACTTTCATTTTTTGTGGGGGTGGGGGGGTTATCAGGGTGTAATGCTGAAGTTGTCTTGATAATAATAATACTCCTTACACTTCTATAGCGCTTTTCTGGACACTCCACTCAAAGCACTTTACAGGTAATGGGGATCCCCTCCACCACCACCAATGTGCAGCCCCACCTGGATGATGCGTCGGCAGCCACAGTGCACCAGAACGCTCACCAAACACCAGCTATCAGTGGGGAGGAGAACAGAGTGATGCAGCCTGTTCATAGATGGGGGATATTAGGAGGCCATGATTGGTAAAGGCCAGGGGTAAATTTGGCCAGAACGCCGGGGTTACACCCCTACTCTTTTCAAGAAGGACCTCAATTTTGTGTCTCAAACGAAGGACGGTTGTCCCCATCACTATACCGGGGCATTAGGACCCACATAGACCGCAGGGTGAGCGCCCCCTGCTGGCCCCACTAACACCTCTTCCAGCAGCAGCCTTAGTTTTTCCCAGGAGGTCTTGAGGCAGTAATGTACGTAATCGGACAGCCCCATCACCGATTATGCTTGTAATAAGATGAGCTACTCCAAGAGGGAGATCCTGATTCATGCTGGTTCTAAAAAGCAAAACACTGCTGTCCAGCAGCCTTTTAAACTTGTCAGTGCAGAAGAAGCTTTGCAGAGTGAAATGCATTGTCTTGCAGCAACATCAGATCTATGGTTTTAAAAATGCATTTGTGGCTCAGCATGGAACGATCTATCCCCATGTTTTATGAACAATCAAATACCAATGACAGCCTCTGTTTAGCAGGAGGAGAACTGGAGAAGAAGGGGGAGGGGTGTACTTGAAACTCTTCCAGCTCAAATGCATCATCCATCCACCCAGTTTCTAAGCTCTTTATCCAGTCCAGGGCTGTGGGGGGGCCGGAGCCTATCCTGGCAAGCATCATGGGCACAAGGCAGGATATGCCCATGATAGGATGCCAGTCCATTGTAGGGCGGACAGACACACAGACTCACTCACACCAGGGCCAGTTTTTCCAAAAACCACTGAACTTGCCAGCATGTCTTTGGACTGTGGGAGGAAACTGGTGTACACAGAGGAAACCCACACAAGCCTGGGGAGAACATGCAAACTCCACGCAGACAGCAAGCAAGGTCAAGAACTGAACCAGGGCCCCAGTGCTGTCAGGTGGTAACTAACTCCTGCACCACCGCCCTCTCTTAAATGCATCAGCTGGTTTTTATTCTTAACAAAATTAACCATTTTTAATTGATTCCACAGCAGCAAATCTTGGCAACACCGACTGAAATTGCTCTTTGATTAGGATTTGAGTCCTACACTTTTATTGGGGATTAAGCCCAATATTTTTTGTCCTTTTGCATTTGATAGCTATGTGAGAACGCTTGGGGGGTGAGGGGGGGGGATCTGCCCCCCCTGCTGGAACAGTTGATTGTTCCCCAGTCGAAAAGACCGACCCGAAGAGAGAGGAAAGCTTCTTCACATAGTCTTATTAGATTTGGTCTGACACATACTGTATACAGGGCTGTTTCTGATTAAATAAAAGCATCATTAGGCTGCACACCTGTACTGACTTAGCAGATACAGATGTTTTCTTTTTGGTGTTTTGTCTCACACACACACACTGTTATTTGTTAGGTTCCTTGCAGATGGGAGTGAAGTGTCTCCTTGTTAATTGTGAAATGGTGCTCGTTTACAGTCGTGCCGGTTGTGGTTCCCTGTGCTTCTGCAATGTTCTGCTGAGTAACTGCTGGGGAGGAAGGAATGCAGACCTGAGCTCTGAGTCCTAAGCCATGCCAGGTTTTGCCCAGAGCAGGTTCTGGGTCACAAGCCCTCATTAGCTGCTTCCTACTTTGAGTAAGTGTGCAGACAAATACATGTGGAGCTGAAATGGTTTCCACGTCAAAACAAGGCAGTGCAACATGATAGGGCTTTTTTGCAAGATCTCTGCAGCTTATAAAACATGAAACAGATCTGGCTGCCACGCACTGGGAGTCTAAAACCTCTACTTGACTTTTTCCAAGTCCATTTCTTGGGGTGCCCCTCTTTGGCGCAATGCAAGAGTTGAGTTCATCAATGAAAGAAGTGTTGGGAAAAATTAAAGCAACACAGGGCCAGCCCAAGTCCCGGGCCGTCGACTAGCATGCAGGGATGCCCATTTAAAATGGTCAGCTCTGGGCCGTCCCGGTTTCGCCACAACTCGTTTCAGCCTGAGCTGGGTCCGAGGAAACCCAAACAGACAGTCGGGCGCTGTCACCCGCCGCACAATCCATCCTCATGACTGTCTCGTTCCAATTTACAAGGCGCTGGGCCAGAGAAGCTGAAAAACACAACAACAGAAGTGATGGATGGACCCTTAGCACAGTGAGAGAGAGCAAATCAGACTGGAGTCATCCACAGCTGCAGTTTCATTACTCCTCTTTCTGCAGGAGTGGGCCGCTTGCCCTTTGCCTAAAATCAATTGTAATCAAGTGAAGCCTGTAGCATGTATTTTTTTCCAGTTTCATTGTTTCTGATGTATTTATGCCTCCCTCCCCCAGTTTCGGCATGGGCTGGGGAGCGCGTTCCTGGCTAAAAGCCTCCTAATAATCCCCATCTGTGAACTGGCTTCATTACTCTGCTCTCCTCCCCACCGATAGCTGGTGTGTGGTGAGTGTACTGGCACACTATGGCTGGTGTTGCATCATCCAGCAGGGCTGCACATTGGTGGTGGTGGAGGGGAGTCCCCATTACCTATTAAGTGCTTTGAGTGGAGTGTCCAGAAAGTGTAAGGAATTATTGTTGTTATTATTATTATTATTATTATTATTAAAAGGGGGGTGGACAAGCACTCTTGTCCAGCATGGGGTTGGGGTCACCTCCCATGTGGCATTTCTTAGGGCCTCTTGCCTCTGCCTGACCGCTGACGTGATCCCGAGACCCACAGATGGACACATCAGCCTGGCCCCATGGGTCTGATCACCTCTTCCCTTCCTGATCGCCGCACAGAAGTGAATAAGATCTGAGCAGGCTGCGTGTTCCTTTTCGTCCGTTTCTCCGAGATTGGAGCTGCCCCCCCAGCTCTGCTGTTTACCTGGGAGAAGGGCAAACTCAGATAGGCAGAATGGCCCACGTTTCATCACAGAGTTGCCTTTGTGTTCTTGTGACTCAGCGATGCACCAGTGAGTCAGTTTATTTAATCGGATCAGCGCCTAACCTTCATTCTTTCGATCTTGGCGTGTTTCAGCTGTGAGCCACTGAGTTCGAATGGACTTTACACGAAAAATGGCGGGGTGGTAGGCTAGTGCTGTACTTTTTGGGATCCTCAGGAGGGCCTATGAAAATGAGTCTGCAAAGTTTTTTATGTTGTTAATGACAGCCCATTGTTGGCGATCTGTTGCATCTGTCTCTAAAACACAAAGCTGGAATAAAGAATGAAGGAGTCTAGGATGCTGTGACTGAGTGCTCTCAACATGAACAGCAGTAACTACTGCAGGCACTGATGTTCCCATCTATATAAGGGCAGAGAACCTTTCAAACCAATCCCCCCCCCCCAGCTCCCCTGCAGGAAAAATAGCTCTGTACTTTGGCCGTGGTGTTAAGGGAGGGTGGGAAATCAATTTGGGAAGATGACTGCAGCAGTCTTTTTTTTTAAAAAAAGAAAAAAGTCAGCCCAGCAGAACACACACTCAGCAGTTTCAGTCGGCTGTCTCGCTAATGGACAGGGAGAAGCTGCTGGGCTGGTTTCCACGACGACGGGCTTCGGCAGCTCGTCTGAGAGAGCGAGGAGCCGTTTTGATGCGTCTGCAAGGCCCCAGAGCCTGGAGGGGAGGGGGGGGGGACCATTAAACAGCCCTTTTTTTCCCTTCTTTTTGGTTGATGCACCGTCTCCCAAAGCACAGAAAAGTAGCCATGGGTGGTGTTAGTGGGGGCTTGTGGGGAGTGTTGAGACAACAAAAGAGGAGTTAAAGGTAGCCACCCCCACCCTCCCCGGATCAGGATACTGTATTAAAATGCCAATAATGGCCATCAAAAACCTACCGCGTCCCTTTCTAACTAGAAGCTTCCAATGACTTCCACTCAAAATCTCTCCTTTTTAAAGATGGATCCATGTTGTCTGTTCTTTGGGTTAAAAGCTCCATTGAGGTCCAACTTCAAGAGACGTCTGAGCCAGCTCCTACCTCGTCTCGCAGAGTTGAATAAAGACTTTAGGAACCAGAAGTGTAACCATTCTGCAACGGCTGGCTGGACATGAACCAGACCTTTTTAATAAATTCGACACTTGAGGCCAAGGCTGGAGCTGGGGTTAGGGCAGAGCTGGAGGATCCCATTTACACAAAGAGTGGCAGGTGCCCACAGCAAACCGCATGCTTGTGTGGGGAAACATTTAATGGCTTTGATGGGTTTCTTGGCTGACTGTGCTACTATGACCGGTTGGATGGCTTTCTCTTCCCTGACTCTTGTATCCTTTTGTTTTCTTCTCCTCCTTCTGTCCTCTGCTCCTCTTGCCTTTCTCTCTCTTTGATCTGTCCTCCCACCACCAGATGGCATCAGCGAACGACTCCCGGCAGTCACAGAAGGACGCGGCCGACCAGAATTTCGACTACATGTTCAAGCTGCTCATCATCGGGAACAGCAGCGTGGGCAAGACCTCCTTCCTCTTCCGCTACGCCGACGACTCCTTCACCTCTGCCTTCGTCAGCACCGTGGGTATCGACTTCAAGGTCAAGACCGTCTACCGCAACGACAAGAGGGTTAAGCTGCAGATCTGGGTGAGCGTGGGGTCCCTGGGTGGGAGGGGGCTGGCAGTTGGGACCGTTCTCGTGTTCAGTAAACTGTTGGTACTCCTGACATAAAAAATACAGTAACTTGGATTCCTGGTAGTTGAGCTTATGGCCTGACCAGAGGTTGAGAGGGCACTTCTTTGTTTAAGGTGGGAATGGCGGATTCTTAAATTAAAGCTGCTTCAGTCCTGCTGGAGGAGCTTTAAAAAGGATGGTGGGGGGAGTTTGTAGAACAACAGGGCATTCGCTTGGTGTGCTAGCACACAGTGTCTCCTGTGCCGAGCCAGGCACTGTAGGTGTGCGGTGATGTCAGTGAGGGACTCGCCATTCCTCCAGTTGTCACTACCTCACCTGTTGGGCACCATGGAGCTTATCTGATGCTGAAGCAACTCTGCATGTGGGTGTTTCAGCAGAGTATGTGTGCAGGACATGATTGGTGAGAACAGATTCTTAAAAGCATTGCCAGTTTGAGTTTTGGAAAAGAGAGACTTGTTAGTCATTTGCCATTTGGAAATGTAGCAGTGTGTGGCACAACCACAGAAAATGAGCATCTAGGCTTTTACAGTGCTTTGGGACAACCTGCATGTCACATCAGGGAGGGTGTTGTGGTGTGCAGGAAATGTCTGTTCATTGGGCTTCTAGAGAAAGCTTGTACAAGCACTTGAGCTTCATCAGGATTCCTTGTTTTTGTCCTTCTAAGCTCTTCTCTACTTAATTATACCCATTCAAAACTGTTTTAGATATTTGTCATTTCCGTTTAATATAAAGTTGCAGATTTTGGACTAAATAAAACATTTAACCTGAACCGTAGTACTTTAGGATCTGAAACCACTAGTTTTAGTTTTAAATAACAGTATAACAGTTATTTAATAACAATAATAACAGTTCATTAAAGACTCAGTGAAATAATAGTAGGTTTGAGAGCCCTCAGATACTAACTTGACTACAGCTGGGATTTGAAACCCCTGATGTTTAACCTCGCCATGTTTCAACTACTGAAAGATCAGTTTAGTTTTTCAGTAGAATTACTGTATTTCCTGGTGAAAATCATCCATGGCTTCATCAGAGGGTACAGCATAACACCTCGGTATTATCACGCACACAGAAGCTCTAAAGATGAAATGTTATTATATGGGTGTGATTATTGAACGAATACTGGTTAATATTATTCAATTCTAGGTGGCTGAACTGAACTCGCTGCACAGGATCTAGGTGATTTGGTTTTGTCCCAGTAGGAATGTGATTGATTGTGCTTGCCTTTGGAGCTCTGCGCCAGGTGTAATAAGCTGGTGTGGGAAAAGATCCTGCCCTCTAGCTGGAGGGACTCCCTTAGCAAAGTCACCCAGTTGACACAGGAGTTAATGATCAACCGCACAGGGCAGGGCAGTCCAGCTGGTTGCTGCTGTTGAGTCTCCGGCGGCGAGTGCGCAGGCAGGCCTCGGTCGCTCGGTGGAGTCGTGAGCAAAGGGGGGCGGGGCGGGGCGGATTCCCACGAGAGAGACCCGCCCCTTTCTCCCTCCCCTACTTCCTCCTGTGTGCCAGCGCTGCTTTTTTCCCCAGGAATTGCACTGTCCATACAGAAAAAAGGAACCCGAGTGGAGGCTAGAGATGCTTTAACCTTTAGCCAGCAGCCTTATCACTCTGCAACTCACAGCTGGCAGCCCACTGAATCTCAGCAGGTGTGAGCCTGGTCAGTACCTGGATGGGAGACTCCTGGGAAAAACTAAGGTTGCTGCTGGAAGAGGTGTTAGTGGGGCCAGCAGGGGGCTCACTAATGCCCCAGTATAGTGACGGGGACACTATACTGTAAAACAGGCATCGTCCTTTGAATGAGACGTAAATCCGAGGTCCTGACTCTCTGTGGTCATTAAAAATCCCAGGGCGTTTCTCGAAAAGAGTAGGGGTGTAACCCCGGTGTCCTGGCCAAATTTCCCATTGTCCTAATAATCCCCATCTCTGAATTGGCTTCATCACTCTGCTCTCTTCCCCACTAATAGCTGGTGTGTAGTGAGCGTTCTGGCGCACTATGGCTGCCGTCGCATCATCCAGGTGGGGCTGTACACTGGTGGTGGTGGAGGGGATCCCCATTACCAGTAAAGCGCTTTGAGTGGAGTGTCCAGAAAAGCGCTATATAAGTGTCAGCAATTATTATTATTATTATTAACCTGCACAATTTCCCCGCGGTGTGACGAGCTGGGGAGCAACTGTGTGCGAGCAGACAAGCTGTCCTTTTCTCTTGCAACACGTGTCCTCGTCCACATCTGCAGCAGGGGATGCTGTTCTGTTACCAGTAGATGGGTGACTGAAGCGACTGTAGCACAGAAGAGCACATCAGCGCTCTCCCTTCTGACTTTTCTCTTCTCTCTGCAAGCCTTTGAACAGCACTGTACGAACCGCTGGCCCAGTTCAGCTTTGATGAACTATTTTGATTTATTCCTCAAGTCCTCAAAGGCCTTGACTTGGAGCGTGTCCCCAGAAGCAGCGGCAAATGATGATCCAGAGGACGCAAGTGGGAGCTGTGTGGAAGTTTGTGTGATAGTGTGAATGATGTATAGTGTTGATTAGTGATAGTGATTTTTTAAATTTTGGCTCAGGTCTGTGCGAGAAGCAAATGCAGTTACAGTACTGCTCTTCAGCTCCACCCACTCTGACGTCCTCTGCTGGGATGGGTTGTTGATGCGGGGCTGTTGCACGGGGAATAAGGCTGCCTCTCTGCCCGAGAGTTGGAGCGTGTGTCAGGTGGCCTCAGAATGCCATGTCTGTACCCGGTGGGCATTGCTCTGAGGGGCCCTGGGAGTACCAGGGCCTGAGCCACTGAAACACGGTGACGACTGCTGCTGAAGGCTTTAAAAGCGGAACTGCGAGGTAGCTAGTAGTTCTCTGTTCGAAGCTACGTACTTGGAAGGACCTCCTCTTTGAAAAGAAGTCTTCTCCCTGGTGTCTGATGAGTGTGTTCGCAGGTTTGCATTCCCCTCACTGACGGTGCTCTTACCTCCTGACTGAACTCCTGTACGGATCCAGTTGCCATTACTGGGAGGGGGGGGGTCTTGTGCACTCGGTGGCCTGATCTACTCCAAACCTACCCAGAATTCTTGCAATTGTGTTGTCAAACACAGAAGAAAGATGAAAGCTTCAGTGTTCCATTGCCATTAATATATTTTGGTCCATTACTTTTTTTAGTATGTTATTAAAAACTGACAGGTATTGACAGGTCTAGCATCACACGCGCGCATCCTCCCCTGGAAAACTTTAGTGACCCCGCACACACACCTCTGTTGCCCGGGCAACCTTTTATGATGTCATGCCCCTATATTTTTAAACGCAGGGCCTCGGACCCAGTTACCAGGAGACAGGGCGGATCACCATGCCGACGGGCTTCCATCGCCACTTTTGGCTGTTTGATCTTTTTAATGCATTTTTTTTTTATGAGCGCCAGGGCGCATTGATAAAGAAAGCACTTGGACGTCATTGCCCTTAATTAAAATAATGGATGCGAGCGGAGGGAGACAGATGCGCACGTACGCGTTCCCTCTCTGTCCTTTTGTGTCGTGGCAGTCTAGGGATGACTAATGAAAACCAAACACAGGCGACAAAAACAAATTCAATTTAACTCCTCTAGCTCTAGAGCCGTGCCTTGTATCCCAGATAACGCTCTGTTTCCACAGGCTACTGCTGATCCTCTTGCATCAGAATAAACACCCTTCCCGAGCACAGGAGTCTGCTTTTGTTCCAGTCTCAGTTGGCAATTAAGCAATTAACCTCATTTAAAAGCACATAGAGTGTTTTTCTTAAGGTCCTGCACAACTGGACATCATTTAAGATCACACGGGGGCTGGCTGGACATATTCCAATTCGGCGCTTAATTTAAGTCATAGGTTTTGCTATCCTTCGTAAACAATTTTTTTTCCCAGATTGAAGAGCTGGAACCGATAAGTTCTGGGGGAGCGTGTCCGTGTGGGCGTGTTCATGTGGGTGTGTCTGTGCGTTTCCAGGACACGGCTGGCCAAGAGAGGTACCGGACCATCACCACAGCCTACTACCGGGGAGCCATGGGCTTCCTGCTCATGTACGACATCACCAACCAGGACTCCTTCAATGCCGTGCAGGACTGGTGAGTGACTGAGGGAGGGAGGAAGACTGTCAGAACAGCCACAGAGCAGCGGAGAGGTCAGCAGAAGAGGAGAAGAGTGATTAGTAACAGAGGGAAGTTGGAACATGTAAACACTGAGCGTCAAAAATGGACCCCATGACTAGAAATTTGTGCAATTTGGGGAAAAATCTCTCTTGAAACCACGTGGCATTTTGTTGAACAGGTGATGTAAATTCATTAGGCTGATTAACATTGATCTCTTTGACACATTTGCTGGAAGATCACAAGCTGCACATCTGGCATTGCAACAGGCTGCAGGTGCTGTCTCTTGGGAACCTGTTCCCTTCCTCTTGTACAGCCTGGGCAAACATGTGTCCGCCTGTTCACTGGTCTCTGAGCCCTAGATGACTCATCCTCCTAGTTGAGTCCATAAATGTTCAATGAGGCTTGTAAGGGAACCTTGACAAACTGTCACATTCTCATCTAGGAAGAAAACTGTTATTTTGTGGCCATTGTTAAGAGGCTGTGTCCTGCTGGAGTTTTGTCGCCCAGTATTGAGCCTATAGAAGGGCCATCAGATGAGGACCCAGGACTTGATCAGTGTAGAACTCTGCAGGCAGGTTGTCACAAATCACTGTAAGTGGAGTTTCGTAGCAGCTAGACACTCCTGGCCAGACCGTCACTCTAAAACCTCCCTATTGATCCTGGACTCAGAGATCAATGGCAGTGCACTCCCTAGAGGAGGACAGTGTGCCGACTCCGTTTAGCCTTTGAAGCACTCGTGTCGTGAAGACCGCCAGCATTTTCCTTATCTTGATTTCTACCCGGCTTGACATTCAACAGATAAAATCCACTCATCGCCCGTGTTCAGTCAGCTCTCTCGCCCGGTGAAGCGATTTAGTGCTTCACTCGAGTGAAGTGAAGTGGTCAAAATATCATTAAAGCATGGAATCTAAATCCATTGGCTGCACGTCTTTTATACAAAAACAGGCTTGGATAAATAGAGATACTTCCTAGTGTATGTTTTTAGGGAGCCCTAGGTGGAGTAGGAAAGGCCACTAAATAAACAGCAGCAGGGGCGTGTTCTGTAATTAGTAAGTGGGAGCAGCAAACCTTTCGCAAGAGCAGAAAAGAGGTGGTGTGTCAGCAGCCGTGGGCCCAGAGGGGGCAGTGTGCAGATCTGCCCCCCAGTGGGGGAGGCGCTTGCTCCTGGGGACACATTCCACTGATACCCCCCACCCTCTCCCCAATCTCTCCACAGGGCAACGCAGATCAAGACGTACTCCTGGGATAACGCGCAGGTCATCCTGGTGGGCAACAAGTGCGACCTGGAGGACGACCGGATCATCCCGACAGAGGAGGGGCGCAGGCTGGCGGACGAACTAGG